AACAGATTATTTTCGTACAAAATATTTAATTTCAGAATATCTGTGTATAATACAAGACCGAATATTTTGTGTGGCACAGATTTTAAAAGTATGCACAAACCTCCAAGTTATATTACATATATAAGCCAACACTTTTATATATAAAATATCTTTTCCATATTAAGAAAGACAGTGATGTTTCTCCATATCATGTAGAACCAGTTGCAATGAATCCACTGTATCCTGATGTTATAAGGGACTGATTTTCAGAATAGCCTCTGTGGTCTAATCTACACTCAAGACGGGTATGTGATGTAATCTAAAGTCTATGCATCATCTACCACACTATTCATAAGGAATTAACACAATACTAAGGGGTGGACCTGATTCATTCTCTTTCCACCGAAGCTCTACTCATTAAAACCACTTTAATAATAATTATACTGCATCATATTGTATCATCCTTTTTTCCTGTTTGCAAAGCAAGATTCCAAGTTAGCAATGCATCATGCACAAATCCACAAAATCTATCTTCAATGCCCTCTTTTCACCATACTTCCTTGACTGTGTAATCACTGACACAGGTGTACTCGAGCTGAATTAGCATAAATGAATGTTATCATCTTCAGCGTAGTACAACTGCCCCTGCTATTTAATTCAGAAAAATAGATTGATTAAATGTTTTATCTCAACCCAGCTAAAATATCAGATGAATGGAGTGTGCCTTTCTTACGTTTTACTTTTGGATTTGTTTCAGAGGCTAACATAAATCCACTCTAATAAACCTTTCTTCTCAGGCTGCATTAACATGATTGCAAAGTATTATACTGTAGCAGATAAAGCACATTGAGGGGCTTTTCATTTCTTAAAAAAAAAAGGATGATGCATGGAAATTAGCAGAACTAAATAAGAGCTTAAACTGCTTTCTTGCCAGGATTCTCTTCTCTCCTTCACAGCTCAAAGTTTCCTCAAATAATTTAGCATTTTAGTTTCCTTTTTAATTTTCAGTGCTTACTACTAGTTAATATGTATCACTTGCCCTAACATTCTTCATTTTCATCAGATACATTCTCTTCATTAAGTACTACCAATTTACTATTTAGCGCGTCACTTGCCCTGACTATCTTCGTTTTCATCATGTCCTGATGGGGAAGCACCTATGTGACGTACAGCTCTGGAAAGAAGTTAAGAGACCACTGCAAAATGTTTATGAATCTACATTGTTAAATCTTGCTTTAATCCTGGTTCTTCTGGCAGAAGGCTACACTGACTGGCAGGTTGCTTCCAGGCTCAAAACTTCTAAGACAGTAGTACGGAAGAACAACGTGAAGCAGGAGACACCGGGACCGCAGAAAAACCAGCCAGGTAGAGGGCAAAAGCGACTTTCTAATGCCAGTGATGACATTCAACTTATCCAACAGTGCTTCATGAAACAGATGGATGACATCGTGACCTTCAAAAGGAATGGGAAACATTCAGTGCAGGTGTGAAGTGCACTGCTAGAACAGTTCGTATCAGGCTTCTACAAGCAGGCCTGAAGCCCCATAAAACAAGGAAGAAGCCCTTCATCAACGAAAAGCAGGGAAGAGCCAGGCTGGACATTTTACACAGAAGCATACCCATAAACTGAGAAATGAGTGAAACTAAAAATGTTGTTGTCTCTTAATTTTTTCCAGAGCTGTATAACTGCCCACAAGCAACTAACGGTAGCTTAGACTCCGAACTAGCAATGCCAATATGTTTAACAATGAGAATGATGAGTTATTGATTGTACTCATCAACAGTAATTAGCGACACAAAGGTGTCTATTGCTGCTTCCGTGGTGACACAGAAAGCGGTATCGATCTTGCTTGAGTGCAGAAGCATAGAAACTGGGCTGGACAGAGGTTACGTGTAATTTCGATTCAGTCGTCCCTCAATAAATTGATCTTTATATTTAAACTATTATCTTGTGCCCCCCACAATATCAAACTCTCTTCAATGTTGCTGCTTTGCTCAAAGAAAAAGGAAATAGAAAAAAAACTTTAAAAAAGGCTAAAGATTGCTATTGGACACCTTAAGTCCTAATGACTAACAATTTTTCAGATAAACTAATTAAGTCTTTTAACTAAGAACCAATAATGAAATGTTTGGCTGAAAGTGCAATGTTTGCTGAGAGCAATGGATCACCAAAGCCTTAACTTTAAGGGAGGAAAACATTTTTAAAGGTATGAATACTATATCGAGCCAGACTGATGATTATTGCCCGTGTTGTTGAAGCAAGGTAACGACGTGCGAATGAAGTCCTCCATTGATCGCACATAAAGCAATCATCTTGTAGTGTTGTATCATTTGCAATCAAACGTGTGTTGTTCTGAGAAGCGTGGAAGCTTGGCGCTGAGGACCGTTAAAGAGTAACTGACAGCGAGCTGATTAGGAGACGTGTACCAAGCGACAAACACACTTCCATTACCATCGCAAGGTGAGACCTGTATCTGTTCGGGTTCTCAAAAACGCCCAGCATGTGCTGTGAGGCATCACTCTGCTTTCTGGTATTTTCATCTCTCCTCCGCGTTTATAATTTGTCTTTTATTTCACGGGAAGAATCCTGAACTCGCCTGGGCATGGCGCCAGGTGTAGTGTGCCAGTATGGTAAATCCACCACCGTCCTATGCAGTATAAACCCTAATTGAAATAACGTGGAAGACAAATTGAAGAAAAAAAGGCCATATTCTAGTCACCCATACAGACACAGACAAGAGGAGTCTCCATATATTAATTTTAGCATAATATTTTAATTAAACATACATTTTAATTGAATATATTAACCACTGGGTGAAGGATAAGAGCCACCAATTAAATCACCATGCATGTAAATCTTAGTGCTGGAGAACAAAAAAAAACAGCCAGAAATCCCATGTAACAGTCAGGCACCCGAGTGAATCATAGCATTATATCTATTCCAAATGGAAAATGAATGGAAACAAACACCTACACAAAGATGAAAGCAGATAAGGGACCACAAGCCTTACTTTAAGACAAAGGGCAACTGGAGCTTTTCCATGAGCTGTAGACATGACTGAAATGGATCTGCAGTAAGATCCATAGGAAACCAAAATGCAAACCTGTTTTACGCCCTATAACCATATGGGAAATGACATACATTTCAGTATTGTTACAAAAATTCAGCCGTCTTCCAGAAGCCCCCACTGTTCCCATTTTTAGATATTTATTTCAGTCTCTGAAAAATATTTACAATTCAAATATCTACAGAAACATCTTCATAGTGAAACAGGCTATTTCTAAAGGTCATTATCAAAGGACAAAATGAAAATCTTGCACCAACATGAATGATGAACTGTATTTCTGAACAGAACTAGGACGGCTGCAGAAAGATTCATGCAAGATAGATGTTTTTAGAGCTACCTAAACCTTTTCCAGACCCCTATAAGATGTCTGCTGTAGGACTGGCATGAACCATTAAACTAAGACACAGTCACCATATTTAGATGTGTCTTTTTTTTTTTTTTTTCCTGTTTTACATAATAATTCCTCTAAACCTGCATGTAGAGTACACCTCCTTAGAAAACTGTGAGAGTCACCAAACTTAAGATTCACAAAGAATTCCTCTTGGTTTAAATTCATGAAGCAGGAGAGGAAATGGTGGAGTCCCAAACGCACAATATCTAAATTTCTCTTTCAATGTCTGCATCTTAGAAAAATTGCAGTTTCTTTATAAAAGCGCAAAGCCCTTACTAACTACAAAGCTAACAGAACGCATCTGCAAATAGCAAGAGTTTTGCAAACTAGCATGTGACAACAGTAGCACTTAGCACTGCAGCACAGCATATCTTCTGCTTGCAAATTAAGTGGTGAAGGCAAATATTTATACATTAAAACAACAAATCTCAGTGCTCAGTCTTATGGCGCTACAAAACATTCATTGTTTAAATCTGCTACTTTACTAAGAAATGTCAACCATATGTTCATTTAACACAAATGCGGAGTAGAATTATAGCATAACTAGTCATTATTCTAGGCTGAAACCCAGAAAATGTAAAATATGTGTCTAATTTCAGATTTCCAATACTTCTGGGAAAAAAATCAACCAAAATAGCAAAGTTAATGACATAATTACTGTCCTTCTAATTAAAACTGTCTAATGTATATTCACAGGGGAAAAAAATCTAAATCCAATTTGAAAAATGTTTAGCAAGAAACACTGCATTTCGTTTAGAATTTAAAACACTGTAGCAATTGTCCTAATATGTTATGTCTTTCACAGTCGGGATAATTCTATTGGCTGATGGGATTTCCCAGGTCAGGAGAAGACAAAATGCTGCACATCTAAGCAAGAGCAGACAAGAAGATAATGCAGATGGTTTCAGTTTGACAGCTTCATGACACCCACTATTTAGAATAATTACCACAGACATTGATGCCTATTTGTTTATAGAAGTAGCTAAGAAAACAAAGACAGCACCACTAATAAGAGCAGAGGAGATGGTCACATCCGGACAGCAGCAGAAAATGTCATATCATGAGTTAATTACTTTCCAGGGCAGAAGATGAGGCATTCTGACTGGCTGCACCAAAGGTGCAGTGAGATCTGTTACTTTCACCAAGTTCATTGGCCTGCTATCTACCCCAGCCAAACCCACGCCATTAACAGCTTGCCCCTTATCAAAGGTCCTGTCATCATGCCACCAAGGCATCTTCCTGGACGGCTGGGGTCCTGCACACTGCCGCCCAGGGTAAGACATTATCTTGATGAAGTCCAGATCAATAGAGCCCGGTGTAAGCCAATGAAACAGAGCTACTACCCCCTTTTTAATTGAAGTTAAGACTCTGCAAGTTCAATGCCCTCCCAACTGATTTAAAGTCCTTACTTGTCTGGACAGCTCCTTGTAGACGTCATCAATTAAGAGCAAATTCTCTGACCTGTGACCCCCCCGGTATGTCTGTGTCTTGCTTCTTCAAGAGGGCCGCACAAAGGCCCCCTGTGACATTGCGGTTGTGTTTTATTTCCAGCAGATACATACCTCCTTTCCTACATATTTTCTTGCCCGGTTTCCTGGCACATTCCTTGGATATTCTTTTTACTGCAAAATGAATAGAAGACTAAAAAATAACATGGACCTCCATTACAGAACAGTAGGCGCATGCAGTACCATAACCTGACTGAGGAACACAGAGATTATAACGGACCGGGTCCCTGTCTTAATTATGTCATCGTTATCAGCAGTTTAAATCAATCATCATCATTACTTTACATCAGATACCACTTTATTAGCCAGACTCATTGTGCCTGCACACAACAATGGACAGACGATGGACCGCTGGCAGTCAAGTGTGAGAAGGAAAGGCAAGGAGGAGTTATTTTCACCTGGATGGGCGTGCTGTGGTGGACAGGAAGATGTGCGTGAACGGGAGGTTAGGAGACGAATGCACAACCACGCCCACACGCAGACAGAGACACCAGAAGCAGCAGCATGCATTTGGGAAGGTCACAAGTGGACATGCAGAGGTCATGCTTTTCCCTTCAATATCCAGCACAAACAAAAAAAAAAAAAAAGGAAATGAAATCTGGTTTCCTCTGTTTCTCCTATTCTAAACTCACCATCCTCAGTGGGAACGTATATGTTTAGGAAAAGGCAGTCCTCGCTTTGGTCCTGAACATAGGACGAGACGACCTCCAAGCTGTTCGTAAACCAAACAGGGAGCATAACTTCAGGAAGTCTCCCCTCTGTGATGGTCTGCGGACACACAGATGCGAACTGGGTAGTGTTCCGGGTGTCCGACCACGGGATTGGTGGTTCCGGTGGCTGGAAGCGTCTCTCTCCTGTAGGGGGCGCTGCATACGGTACACCCAGAAACTGGATAACAGGCCCCAGGATCTCATTGTTCAACTCCTTTTTGAAACCGCGCACCTTGCCGTAGACGGTGCTCACCACAGGGTCCGTCTCGTCCAGCTTCTGCGAGGCAACGCTGACGGCCTGCAACACCAGGCCAAGCATCCAGAGAAAGTAAGCCACTTCTGCACCCATGAGAAGGTGCGGTCGCACCCCGCTCCAGCTGGGCTGGCAAGGCCTTCGCTGGGGCATGATGTGCCCTCAGACAACAAACCCACACCCCAGCAAACGATGTAGCTCTCAATTATATCCACGCACAAGCCAGAGTGAGAAAAATATCAAAACTCCTACAGATGAGGCTCTCCAAACATTCATTAGTTTTTCGCATTGCAAGGATTTCCGAAAGATTTCGCACTTATGGCCAAGACATTTCCGCCCGCTCACGCGTCGTTCTTCAGCCTCTCATGTCCTACTAACAATTTGGTTTTCCATTCCCGCCATATGCAGAGTGCAGCCATTTGCCGCAATCTGTCGCCCAATGAATCAGATCCAGTTCAGCTGTTGGTTTATATCCTGTGGAAAATGGAAAAAGAAAATCATTAGCGTGGGCTCAGGGACAAAATATCGGCAGAATAAGGTCTCCGTAGCCTTTCTGGTTTTACTTTGCTGCTATCAACCGGAACATTCTGAAGACATAGCCCCACATTGGAACCCTATAAATCTTCTCCCTCTGACATAAATGTTCAGATACTTCTTAAGAATGCCAGTTTTTCTGTTTTTTTACTCTCGGTGAGAAAATTGGAGAAGCACATTTTAGAACGCCGAGACTATTCATAATTTTCATATTTAGTCAGCTAGAAGAAGAAGAACATTTTTAGATGTGTCTATTTAAAAAAAGACAGAGAGAGAGAGAGAAAGGCAGATATTGTGACCTGTCTAAAATATCCTGTGAATTTCATGTTCCACTTGAAAATCTGAATTTAGAAGCTTTTTTTAAAAAAACTTCCCCAGTGGGAACAATGACAAACTTCAGATCAAGCATTCATTTAATGCAGTAAATTAATAAACTAAAAAAGAGGCCCAGTGGGAACAGGAAGGGGTTTGTATTAAGGCATAATGGGACACTTGTCCTGAATATTTCTGCGATGCTGTAGTCTGATACACAATCAGCAGCAGAATGAGAGACAGACTGAAGTATGTGAAAAGTACCATTATTTCTGAATGAGACATGACCATGTGGAAGCGCATCAGACAGTAAAGCTTCCACAAAAGGGCCATTTTATCAAACACACAGCAGGTTAATCCTGTAGAGACTTATTTGTGTCTCTTGCCCAGTGTCTCCCTTGCATATAAGTTAGTGGTCGGCAATCAAACAGTAATTTATCTTGACCCAGGGGCGGAGGAGGGGTCTGAGAATGGGGGAGGGGGGATGGAGGGTCCTCAGTAAAACTGACCGACCCATGGGGGGGAGGGGTGGGGGTAAATCGTCTCGAGTAATCGTTGCAAATTTTGCATGATCGCCTGTTATCAAAATGGGACCTCAATAAAAATTGCAAGCCGGGAAAGTTTTCAGTTTTGCAGTGGCCTCCCAGCCATGATAGCCGTCCTGACTAGCTGCAAATGTACCCACGATAAACATTTCAGCTATCACAAGAATCACAATAAAGCACTACATTGACTTCTGTCCAAACATACACGTCAGACAAATAAGCACATTACAAACATACATGCTGTACCAGGCATTAGCCTAGCTAGGCTGAGCTTGCAATGAATGATCAGCTACAAGTGCACTATTATAATGACAGAACAAACCAGCAAGAGCCTGTCACATTGGTTTCTTTTACAGTATATGCAGTATTTTACATACCTAAATAAGTTTATTATTATAATGCCAAGAATAAGGACAGAGTACAGATAGAATTGCTTTTTAAGTGGATAATTGGTCAATTAACATTACTACATACAATTTGGTAGGTTTATAAACAAACAAAAAAAGTCGTTGCGTATATTGTGGATTGTGATATCAAAAATATAGTTACAGACGCTCCTCCACTTACAAAAGAGATATGTTCCGAACGGCCGTTTGTAACTTGAAATGTTCATAAGTCGTTATTCAACATCATTTTGAGGGTATACGCAAGTACAAAGAGTTAGGATGCTGGGAGTACGCACGCTAGTAGCTGCTCCTAGGAAGCTGGGAGTACGCACGCTACGCTGCTGCGCGGCGGGAGTAGCAGCCAGAAGTGGTACTAGGCAGAATTGGCGCGCAGAAAAAAAAATTGATGTTGCAGACAGGAAACGGGAAATGAACACAATTTGGACTTACAGTCCTATTTGTTTGTATGTCTTAAAGTTCATAAGTTGAAAGTTCGTAAGTAGAGGAGCGTCTGTATATGATATTTGGTCATATCGTCTACACCTAATATAAATATTAAATTAAGTATTATTTTCAACAATAATAACCTTTCTACTGCATCACTATTCAGCATATACTGTATAGTAGTGTATTCATAATAATCCATCGATTCATCTTTCCTCCAACCATTTATCCTGGCCAGGTTTGCAAGGTTATTCTGTAGCCCATCGCAGGCAGCACAGGGCACAAGGCTGGGGTACACTCTGAATGGGAAACCAGTCTATTGTAGAGCACTCTCACAATCTCTCTCTCTCTCTCTCACACACACACACACACACACACACACACACGCAGCAATTTAGAGATGCTAATGCGCCTAACTACGTGTCTTTGGACTACAGGACGACACTCGCACACTCCCCCACTCCACAGAGAACGCACGAGGAATTTAAACCCCCCTACTCTGCTGAGGAAACCCGCTCAGTCGCCATGCTGGTCAATACTACTACTAGTAATACTATAATGACAATAATAAAAAAAAATCTGTAATTATTCAGTAATTGTCTTTAAAAATTGGCCTGTAGTTAACCGTTAATTATGTATACCAGTAATAATTATTAATATTACAAATAATTAAATTTCAAGTAATACTGTTTTTACATAAATTTCAGATATCAGCCTTTGAGTTCAGTGATAACACTACGTGTATTGAGTAGGTGCGGTGTTCACAAATAGGCCAGGGGTGCCCAATCTTATCTTCAAAGGGCTGGTGTGTGTGCAGGTTTTTGGAGTAACCTTTAGGTCAGCTGTTCAAACCCAGGTGTGAGGACTCTTCAGCCAATCAGTCCTCTAATTAGTGACCTAATTAGGGAGTTGCAGCGAAAACATGCACACACACCGGCCCTTTGCGAAGAAGATTTCCCACCGCTGGTCTAGGCTATATTAATATACTGTTTTAGATTAACGCTATAAACTGCTTATGACATGAATATCACCATGAACACCTAAAATAAAGTCTCTCTCTGGACATCTGCTGGTCCATTCTGTTGCCATTTTATCAGCAATCTGTAAAAAATGTCTGAAAACCTTCACCAATCAAATCAGCACATCCCATCCTCATAACACCAACCTTACAATTCGGTATAACGTCCTCACATGAGTAAGGAAATTGAAGGGAAAATCTTGGAATAGCACTGCATGAATGCGCAATATCAGAAACGACTCAAAAAAAAAAAAGTGGTACTTTTAGAGATAGGGAAACAAAACTCCATTGAAGGTTTTAGATGTAAAGAGCTGCATTTTTACCCCATAAGCATAGAAACAAATGATGCAAATAAAAATGAAAAGAAAATAAGAACTAATGATGACCCCCGCCCCCCCCAAGAAAGGCAGCAGGAACGTTTTGGAACTACATAAACAACACTGCAAAAAACAAACTGCCTATTATTTTAGCTGACTCTGTCAAGGTCCGGGTATATAGAAGCACAAAGCAGAATTATTATTGCAGTCAGTCAAAAGCCTAAACATTCCATCACCACATAGTTTTTACCCCAATGCAGTTGCTCAGTGACCTTAATGGGAAATTTACAGCGCAGGGCGGATGACTATTTCAGACAGTGTGCTTAGCTTGCTGGATTGCACCAGCGTGAATAAAACTCTAGAAGCATTTGCATTCCAGAGCTTCGCATCAGCCCAAATCAGAGCAGGAGTTTGATACTGGTACCTGAGGAATTATTAAGCACCATTTTATTTCATGAAAATGCATGTCGCTTTGCCTTTCGGTCTTTCGTATAAAAACGCTGCTCATACTGCCGTATGAGCCTTCCGAATCACACCCCTTGGTCTTTCCCCCTGAATCCCTAACCATGGCAATCAGCACATACAGATCATTTCAGGATAGAATTTCAGGATTCATTATGAACATTGGTACTGCATAATAATGTGATACTTTACAATATACAGACTATACAAAAATGGGATATAGAAAAGGTATAGTAGTAATGGACTGTAACAGCAAATACCTTTCATTTGGTTGATGACGTGCTAAATGGGTAATTTGCCATGGCAAAAGCATTGAAAAGGTTGTTTGGTACATAACACTTATCAATCTTGAATCTTGAAGTAGTATTAACACTAGGTCATCTGAATGGATGCGTGTGGTGTCCAAATTCTACACATTTCAGCTGTCTTGTGTGATTCTAGAGGCCACGTTAGCCGCACGTTAGCCGCACGTTAGCCGTTACTATCATGCGCTGTGGCACAACTGGCCTTTTTCTTCCTCATGTCGTGACAATTCATTACTAGCATCCACTTCACAGACCATCATTTTTCTGGGCCCTTATATCTCAGCCTGTATATCTGCCCGTTACTGCTTAACTCTACGGTCTCTCTCTTCCAGCTGTTTGGAGAAGAATGTCTCTTAATTGCCAGGCTGTGTTTCCCTTCTGGGTCCAGCAATGAGAGGTTTTCAGAGATGAGGCACGAGCCTGAAAGGAATTCCCCAAACGAGGCCGGCTCCCAGTCTATGTCCATCACCCTGTCTGATAAAAGCACTCTGATTCTCACTCACTGGAGGGCATTAAGATAAGCTTAATCGGGGGATTCCTGGGAAATTCATTATCATGCGTTCCGGAACTGATGAATTTGTATATTAGATCGGTGTTTCTCAAAGCAGTCCTTGGGGACCCCCAGAGAGCAAGAACACGAACCTGTCTGAAGGCCCCCATGGACTGGCCTGAGAGACACTGTATTAGACTACAATCGCACTACAGCAGCTGGGCAGCATTTCATATGTCCTGTTGTCAAACATCAACTTTCTCTGTCCACTACTTGGAAAGACAGGCCAGTTTGAGTAAGTGGTCAGGAGGCACATACACTCACCTAAAGGATTATTAGGAACACCTGTTCAATTTCTCATTAATGCAAATATTTAATCCACCAATCACATGGCAGTTGCTTCAATGCATTTAGGGGTGTGGTCCTGGTCAAGACAATCTCCTGAACTCCAAACTGAATGTCAGAATGGGAAAGAAAGGTGATTTAAGCAATTTTGAGCGAGGCATGGTTGTTGGTGCCAGACGGGCCGGTCTGAGTATTTCACAATCTGCTCAGTTGCTGGGATTTTCACGCACAACCATTTCTAGGGTTTACAAAGAATGGTGTGCAAAGGGAAAAACATCCAGTATGCGGCAGTCCTGTGGGCGAAAATGCCTTGTTGATGCTAGAGGTCAGAGGAGAATGGGCCGACTGATTCAAGCTGATAGAAGAGCAACTTTGACTGAAATAACCACTCGTTACAACCGAGGTATGCAGCAAAGCATTTGTGAAGCCACAACACGCACAACCTTGAGTCGGATGGGCTACAACAGCAGAAGACCCCACCGGGTACCACTCATCTCCACTACAAATAGGAAAAAGAGACTACAATTTGCACGAGCTCACCAAAAGGCCAAAATTGGACAGTTGAAGACTGGAAAAATGTTGCCTGGTCTGATGAGTCTCCATTTCTGTTGAGACATTCAAATGGTAGAGTCAGAATTTGGCGTAAACAGAATGAGAACATGGATCCATCATGCCTTGTTACCACTGTGCAGGCTGGTGGTGGTGGTGTAATGGTGTGGGGGATGTTTTCTTGGCACACTTTAGGCCCCTTAGTGCCAATTGGGCATCGTTTAAATGCCACGGCCTACCTGAGCATTGTTTCTGACCATGTCCATCCCTTTATGACCACCATGTACCCATCCTCTGATGGCTACTTCCAGCAGGATAATGCACCATGTCACAAAGCTCGAATCATTTCAAATTGGTTTCTTGAACATGACAATGAGTTCACTGTACTAAAATGGCCCCCACAGTCACCAGATCTCAACCCAATAGAGCATCTTTGGGATGTGGTGGAACGGGAGCTTCGTACCCTGGATGTGCATCCCACAAATCTCCATCAACTGAAAGATGCTATCCTATCAATATGGGCCAACATTTCTAAAGAATGCTTTCAGCACCTTGTTGAATCAATGCCACGTAGAATTAAGGCAGTTCTGAAGGCGAAAGGGGGTCAAACACCGTATTAGTATGGTGTTCCTAATAATCCTTTAGGTGAGTGTAAACGTGCAGATACTAAAGTTCTCAAAGACGAACACCAAAAACCAACACAGCAGCAAGATGCCACTCTCCAGAAGTCATTAAGATCACATGCATCAGCAAGACCGGTGCCTCGTCAAACTCAAAGGCCGATACCTGACCACTAACCTAGCATACTGCACTAATAATAAACACAAATATAAATAAAACAGAAATTATTAGCACTGAATAACTGAAAGTTACACCTACAGCAGTTTCTCGTGTCTCTTTTGCCTTCGCTCCTGTTTGATAGTGTTGCATTTTGTTATTATATTAGCTTCTTAATATGTTTATAGGTGCTGTATAGCTCTTGCTCCAATTCTACTTACTCTTGTAATTTAGCATTCATTTGAAGATTAGCCTAGCCGGACTTAAGCCTAGTTGACTCCATTAAGTCATATGTTTGGCATGTGTTATTTGCCAAACAAAGCATCTGCTAAATAAAGTATAAAACATCGACAGATGCCTTGCTGCGTTACCCAGTGCTACGTGGTGGTGGATGTTTGAGCAGTTAATAACTGTCAGAAATACACGTACAGACACACTGAGTAAATAGAGTCATCAGTGAATGGTCGAGAAGAAGCGTCAGAGCATAGCATCTGGCCAAAGGATCACAGCTGATTGGCCGAATACTTTGCGTGCATCTTGCAGTGAAGTTAGACAGGTAACCGATTCACCAGTGTCTCAAGTTAGGGGGGGGAGGGGGGCAGGCATGCGGATGTAAAGGAACCAGCTTACACTCCCAGACAAATGGACGACCATTAAAGGTGTTGGCTCCTATCAGGCATCCTTTGTCCCACTGCACACCACTTCACATTCTTGTTTCTGTCTCCTTCGGTCTATCACCGCAGACAGAACTTGCCCCGGAGATGGAGTTGGGGGGGGGGGGAGCAGCGGCTCGATCCCAGAGCACGGCTGAAGGTCAAGTCGTTGGATTGCCGCTCAGATTGCTCATTAAACCGCGTGCTAAAAGCTGTCCTTCAATGCACCAGTGTCATCCTGCAGCACTACAGGCCGGCGCTTCATTGCTGAGAGTAGACAGCACCGACGCGGCTTCCCTTCCCATTGAATGACTCCGCTAAGCAATCTCTAACCAATCACATGCTGGAGGACTCGTCTCTAACCAATCACATGCCGGAGGACTCGTCTCTAACCAATCACATGCTGGAGGACTCGTGTCCGACTCTACACTGCTGAACTACACGCACTTACCAAGTGACATTCAAAACGTCCCACAAAACATTTATCATGCCGATATCATACAGCAACTATCCAGTGAACAACTTACTATTACCATTTCTGTCTTTGATAATCTGAAGAGAATAAAGTCTTTTTAAAACGTGAAATGCTATCAAAGTGCAATATTTCATAATGGCAAAATAGGGTTTCCAGAGAATAATCCAAAGTATAAGGACAGAGTATAATCCAAAATCAATTTATTTCTTAGAAGAATATATACATAAAAGGAAGACATCAAGATAACATTAATTGCTATCCAAGGAAATTTAATTATATAGATTAATTATCAAGGGTCACTTGTACCATTTCTGTAAATTTTGGCCCATTTATTTGCAGCAGTTGTAAAACCTGAAGTGATGTCAAAACTTCACTAACTCAACATGCAAAGATTCACTCATTCAAAATGACCACAGTGGAGCTAAAAGCTATCGGCTATTAGCTATAGCTCCCTCCCCCGTACAGATGTGGTAATTTGGCGTTAGTCTGAACGGCAGCAAGAAGTGATTAATTGATTATTTGACTATAACCTATGAATATTTATCTTAAAAATATGAGGAGGAATATCATGGGTTAATATTCTGCTTCTAGTCCCATAAAACAAAAGAACTGCAGAAAGTAGTTTGCATTTTTAAAAGCCTGTCTATACTAATCAATTTTATTCCTGGTGGGGGTGGCCGAGTGGTCTGAAGCCAATTCCAGGCAGCATTATGGCAGAAAGCTGGGGTACACCCTGCTCCCACCCCCCACCCACACACACCACACACACCACACACCACACCACACACACATACACAATGCAGAGGTGAGAGTTCAACCCTGTAGGTGCGGGGCAACAATGCTATCCACCGAGCCATTCTTACATCCTGATGTAAACGCATACTGTATCAAAGTTTGTCAGTAATTCGATCTAAACTTGCAAAAAACACTTCGTGCAAAATAAAGGATTTACTTATGAAGACATCTATACCGCGTATGCTGGGGGGGGGGGGGGAGTCTCTGGAACTCTGGATCGCTGATTCCCCGCTCGTCCCACCGAGAACACATTTATTTCGCGTTTCATGTAACTGACACCGATTGAAATAACGTTTCACAGCGACATTTCAAAAATGAAAAAAGAATACATTAATGCCTAATACCGCGTACTGCACATGCCCCCGTGCCTTGCGCACCGAGAGCATAAATCTGGCGCTGACATTACTTTTCGTCGTATTTACAAGCGAAATCCAAATATGCAAAGCATGACATAAAGGCCACTTTGCCCATTATCAGAGCCGCCGACCTGCAGCGCTGCCCCTGATCAGTAGTAACCTTCACGCGACAGAATGCGCACTTACTAAATAGTAAAACTGCGCTTTGGCCATCCTTATAAGCTCCTTATTCTCATTAGCAGCCGAAACAATTAAGCCTGCTGGAAAATTATATCACTGAAAAGTAAAAACTGTGTTCTCAAATAATCATTTATTCTTTTTTAATTATTCAGCGCTTTAAAGCTCTTTAAAAAGCGGCAGGTGGCATGTATAGCTGTTGATTTCGGATATATGTTTTCCAATTGCAAAGGGACCGTACAAACGAATAATAATAATAATAATAATAATAACAACAACAATAATAATCTCAAGACTCGGGCATGTTTTATACGCACTTGTATAACGTACACTAATTTTGATCTTTAAAGGACTCACTATACATACACTTTATATTTTGAATTTAAAATCAATGCAGCATGTACTTACATGTCTGACTTAGAGTCCTTCCTCAGAAATCGACAGACGTATACTTCACGAATTAAACACAAGTTAAGCCTTTGCCACCTCGGTCCAGTATTTACCCACAATTTTCAATGTTTGACTTGCAGTCCTACGGATAAAGTACCAAGACAAAAATATATTTCCTGTGTGACGCTGCCTATTTCAAGCATGGATACAGAATGGTAAAAACTTTGGTTATGATCCATATCTACCAGCAATGGTTGAATAAAAAAGGAGAAAAAATGAAAACGCTGCAAGTTAAGTCTCTTCTGTGCGATGTCATCCTTCACCTGTGTTATGACCTGTATTAAAAGTATGAATTTCTCATGAACGACTCATGGAAAAGTATCCCCGAACACAAAGATTTAGGCTTTTATTAAATAAAAAAAAAAGGAAAACGAGGACTTTTTAGTTACCTAAAGATTAATACAGTTCGTCATGATTTCTATCCAGCAATCTTGCAGAAGGTAAAATAAACTGACGACACTCTTTTTATTGTACATGCAAAACAATCCGCGGAGATTATTCCAGCAGGTTTCTGTCCACTAGACACGGCATGGAGTTCACCTTGGTCCAGATGACCCGCTGATACGCCCGTGCAATGTACGCTACAACGCTGATTTTCTTTTTTCCCCCCCCTTTCTTTTTTTTTTCCATCGGCTCCTCACATCCTCACGATTCTCGGTGCATTGCTTGGTGAGATGCCGAGCTTCTCCTCATGTCCCCGATACGGAGGATGGACCATCAAAAATGGAGCAAAGGTGCGCCTAGTGGATTTCAGAGGAACTTCGACGCTGAGCGTCTTTTAAAGGGACATGGCTTCACCTGCCTGTACAACGTTAGCAGAAAAATAAATTCTGATTTAATTACACTTCCACAGTCTCTGAATAGCGTGGTTGGGAATTTCAGTGAAATACATCAATTCTTTAAAAAAAAATAAATAAATAAAAAAATTAAAAAAAATGTATATCAGCAGCCATATTAAAATGGAATCGTATTAAAACACAAAAAAATAGTATGGCTGTGTGCGAATTATTTGGAAGGAAGGTGAAGATGTTAAATCTGACCCCCGCCCCCCCAAAAAAAAAAAAAAAAAAAAAAAATTGGCACGTTGGGTTATTTCACAGACGGTTGGGCACCCTCTGAGATGCGTTTTGGAGTCCTACTGTACCACTTCCGTGGTTATTTATGGTAAGGAAGTATAGAAAGCTAGGGAGGACTGGGATCCGATCGGCAACTACAAGGAACTAAAAAAAAAAGCCGAAGTTGTATAACACGCCATCGTGCAAACAATGGAGACTCGCTAAGTAATTATGACCCCGCAAATTAAATCATCTCTCCTTTAGCAGCCAAGAATACGCCACCGTGGCATCTTAAGCTTAATTTGCCAATAATTGCCTTGCAGAATTTATATTAGCACGTTGCCTAAATTTATCTAGAAATGTATTCTCCTCTGGGAAATAGCTGTATCAAACATACATGTATAAACATTCTAGGAGTACCACTGTAAGCTGGTGAGAAGTTTTCATATGAGTTACGGACATGCTAACTTGTTATTATAATTTGTATGTGCAAAAATACATTACATCAGTGACAGTGGAAGCCCACGTGCCGCCCGCCACCATAAAACCATGAAGTTGTTTTTTTGTTTGTTTTTTTTTTTCTTGAGAATGTTACCATGGAACTGAAAAGTACATTGAGATGCCGTTTACGGTTCACATCATCATCATCTCCCACACTTCTCACGACTTTCATTTTACATTTGATTAAACCAATTTCACAAGTTTTAATTTGTCTTTGGACGGGAAAGGTCACTTAAATAGCGATAGCTTCTGTGTTGAATGACACCGTGTTTTGTATCATTTCATGATGATACGTGTTAATTGGCATCTTTCATTTTACTGCGTACAGTCCGGTAGCCCATGGAAAATGTTAATGCACTTTTGATATAATGCACTGTAGTCATCAACAGGAGAATGCTGGCCCGTCCTTTTCTTTGATTCATTCCTCCCACTGAGTCTAAAAGCTACATTTAGCCAGCAAATACAGTGATGAAAGCTTTGCATTCATCCATTCAGTGTGGTTTTAATTCCTGTCAAGAATTGTGAACAATGTCAATTATACCCTCTAATGTTACAAAATCACGATGCGCTCCAATGTGTTTCACGTTTTAAGAGAGATTCACGCACATTCCAAGCTTTAGGAGCTTTGTAATAACACCTTACACCCCCCCACAATCCTCAAATCATTATTATTACAAAGCAGATGAAAAAAGTGCAATGACACACACAATAAATGTAATCCAGATTCTCTGATGACAAAATAATCTTTCCAAAAGTGTTTCAAAAAGCCATTACTAATGTTGCAATCGCATTAGATCCTCATCCGTGTGCAAGTTAGCTCTTGTAATTAACATAAACAGTAAGACACCCCACTGTTTCCATGAGAAGTAAAGCTCTCTGGCTACAGAGCTAAATAAATGGATATGAGTACAAGCTCCACCCAATTTAACCTCTTTTTAGGCGTCGGGTATAAGACACAAATCAACAGCTTTCGGTCTGTAGGGAAAAGACGCAAGTAGGTGTATAGGACACTGAGCTTGAACCTCGATGGTGACATCACACAGAGCCTGGGGTCGAGCAGCCTGTACCCAGCAGAGGTTGGTGGAATAAGCACCCTCGTTCCAAGGTTCACGCCAGTTACTGTGGTAGCCTACGCCCGGTGCTCCGCCTCCACCCAGCCCCAGTCCATTCCGGCAAGACCTGCTGATGGATAACCTGCATCACATATGCATTGGCGCTCGGCTGCCAGGCCGTCCTGTACACAGTGCCATCTTGAGAAAACAGCGTTAATCAAGCTCTGTGAGTAGCTGCCTTCCAGAGACAACGGGAGGTTCCGATATATCATGCTCATCAGATACAACGATCCAAGTTCACTTTAATCCCGGAAAAAATGGATGTAACAGTAGAAAATTACAACTGACTTCAGTACGTTTGAGTTATGTGAGCATGCAAGTGTTTCTCCTTTACTTTGGCTTCAAATTCTTTTGAAGACTTTTATCATAATTGAATCCAGTGTTGCGCTTACAAAGTATGCTATTGGTGTGTGTGTGTGTCTATATATGTGTGTGTCTATATATAAACATACACACACGTAGGTTGTATTGTGGTTAATTCTAAGGATATGCTTTACCGGCATAATATAGCGCCTTTCTGAGTTCCTAGTGAATACATACACATACCAACCTGGTGATGACTGTAGGTATGATTTTCAACATTTAAAAGAGAAACGTGAATTTCAATTACATCTCAGTGTAGTGTTTAGAACAGAAAGGATAGGAATTGTACCACCAATGTAGACCAAAAAGGAGTTCAAAAACGTTAAATACTGATGCCAGAAAATCTGTTTGTTGCATGGAAAAGGGATTGTTACACATGATGAGGTAAGATGATTAGGCAGCGGGGTATAAATTACAGGAGGTATTTAAAACAATTATTACAAGCAGACAAAACTCTTCAAAAATGCTGTCAGACCAAAACAGGAAGTTGCATGTATTCTAATTAGACACATTACTGTAGTATAACTGAATTCAATTCCAGACATGGTTATCAGGCAAATATAATATCAAAACACACAAGACACAAAATCTGAATAAATGCATCTTAGAGGTGACACCCCATAATACCACATGGCAAAAAGATTGACTAATTGCACATACATTATACAGTGAGCTGGTAAAGCCTCCAACCAAAGGAGCTCAATAAAATATAGGCTATTGGTTTCCAAGAAATCTATTGTCTTCTATTACTATCAATTTAGACTAATCTAAATTTTTAGTAAATTTCCCTTTTTGCATTTGGGCCAAGCACATCGGCAAAGGTGCTATACAAAAATACCCTGAAATCAAGTGGAAAGATCATCATAAACTAAACAAAACAAGAAAAAAAAAAGCAGCAGTCATATGACTTCTGAGCCGAACTTAATTGTTAGTGCTAAACTCTAAGCCCTTTCCAATTACATCAAGGCTGAGCAGAGCTGTAGCTGCCTGGCCCATATTGACCCAACACTAAATCTTGTTTATGTCAAACTGCCGGGTCAACATGCGAAGCCGCCATGAACCGGTCCCAAAAAAACGGGCTGACATCTGGGGGGTTTAGCGCAAGCGCTCCACCCGTTTGTCGGCAGCTCTCCATGGTGCTGAAACGGCACAGTGTATCACACGGGTCACATGCCGCTTGCCGCTTTAACCGCTTCCACAGTAAACTACCGGCTTAAATCAAACACTATAACAAGTTGTTGTACAAGATTGGATTTGATATCTGGTTGCAGTTGGTGCCTCACGTAATTGGTTTTTCATCTATCTTGAAAACCATGAGTAAATTAATATCGATATAGCATGACTCCCATAGAATAACACACTCTTGTGCTCAAATCCTCAGGCATTTACAAAAAAAAAAATTTATAACATAATCCTCTCTGCAGTCTCGTTAAAACATTTAAAGTAATGACAGTCATGGTATTACCTTAAATGTAGAAGCCATATATATGTAAAATCGAGTGTTTGAAGTGGGCCGGTACTCACCAGTACACAGTACCAGTACCTCTCAATACATGCTGGTGCTGAATGACAAGGGAAGTACCAGCATCTGTTTTCCCCACTTCAAGCACTGTAGGTGTGTGTGTGTGTGTATATAAATTATATATAAAAATACACGTTTTTTCCAGTCTCAGTACAAAAACCAAAACACACATATTTCTTGCTATCTTTTCTCTTTCAATATATGTTCAACTATTTGGGACGATACCACTAAACTGCAATGTGTCCATCTGCTCCGGCAACCAACACTCACAGTCGCAAACCCTCAGTTACACTGATGATGGCATTAGAAGGTGGAAATGGTATGTCCTCCGTGTCCTTACAGAGGGATGGCAGAGTTCTGCATTCGATACGCTACCTAATTTGTATTCCAAAGCACGACGGACACAGGCTCAGTCATGAATCCAGGCTTTCTGCATTCTTTGATGTAAAAATGGATACCCTGCTTGGACAAACAGGAAAAAAAAGTCCAGGCTTGGGATTTTCAGAGATCACTTAAGTCTTCCTTGGCTACTTTAGAGGGGAAAAAACACTGGAAAAAGCATAGCTGACTTTGCCGATCCCACAGCATACCGAACTGCACTGAGTAGGATAATCCATTTATACAAAGTGAAAAATGAACATTCTACAGACAGAATAACCTGAGGGTATAAAATACACCTAACCTGATTTCCCTTTAAAAAAAATGCCTTTTTGTAAAAAGATACCCTTGTCTGTGTTTTGAAATCTGATAAACACCTAACATTTTCCATCCTTGATAATGACATAAAATGCCTGCAAGATATAGGTAAGTATCTTTCTTTCATCGGATTTACAATTTGTTTTGATGTAATTGGTTTTGACAAGGTGAAAATGGCCTGCCTTTTAAACACTAAAGTAGCAGTTACATGCAGGGGGAGGCAGATTAGATATTCATTTATAAATATATATTAGGGAAGTACAAAACCCTGAAAGACAATCTTCATGTCCTGGATTCCTCATGGGACTACAATAATCATATTGGGTTTTGTTGGTTCTCACCTTCCTTCTAGGGCCGGCTCTCTCGTTTCCACATAAAGTCCAGTCTCACACCACTTACTCTAGGTATGTCAGTCAGTGTTACATAGCATCCAGTCTGTAAGGAGGCCTCAAACTTA